AAACGTACCTAGTCATCTGCGTAATTAGACATTTGCCTAGTTCCAAATGTACTGAAAAGCTAGTCAGCTCCCAGCGAACGTGTCAGCAGTTATCCTGAGTTATTCTCTCCTAAATGTTAGCGTACCAAGGGATCAGGAGGTTAAGATACATTTAAATTAGCATCTCTCCCTCCCTGAATTAATCAGCATTTTTAATTATGTAGCATCACCTGATCATAATTACTACTCTAGCAAGTTGCCCACCTTTCTTTGCCAATATAGCATGTAGTTTCCATCGCTCAAGCCAGGTCAGAACATGCTCTCACTGGCCAAGAAAAGTGCCCATTCCCAATGTAGGCACACATCCTTCATACCAAAAGGCAAAGCCTCTCCCTGCTGAGCACATTTGCAGCAAACCCTCACAGAAAAGAGCCAGCAACGAACTTCACGCAGGTCACAACCCCCTCAGCCCTCAGCTGGGAGACAGAACCAATACCATGTACGGATGCAAACATGTAGAACGCTGGAGTGACATGCAATCCTCACTGATGGTCCAGTGGTCTATTGTGGTCACATCTCTGTGCCATTACCATTACATGCTCACAGACCCCTCTGCAAACCACTGCAACTCATTAACCTACAGGAAACTGATAGATCAGTAGAAGATGGGAGCTGGCACAGGGAGAGCAGCACATAGCCCAGGGCATGAGCAAACTGGCAGGATGCACTCAGCTGCTGTGAATCCATAGCCTCACTCCAATCAGTTTCCATCACCCTGAGGTATGTCCACACCCGGGCTGGTGTGAAAGTCCATGTACTGGAAGGGCATCCCAGCACACCCAAAGCAGTAACATCCCTGCACCAGCAACCTCCTGTTTAAGTCCAGGGGATGCATATGGATTCCCTTCATGTTTCCTCACCCAGCGGGCAAGCTACAGAGACAAGCAGACATCTGAAATGCTCAGGCAGTGCCCGGTCAACAACCTTGTATCTCCAGCACGATCTTTTCCTAGGTCTGTTCCACAGCCTTCCTTCACATCTCAAAGGGGCACCAGGTCACACTTGCTCTATGTGCAGTTCAGGCTCAATACATTCAGTTTCACTTTACAGTTCAAAGCTTTGCAGGAACTTTTTCAAGTATGTGACAATTAAGGCAGTAACCTAAACCAAAACCTGTTCTTGATGGAAGCACCAACCCTCACCTTCTCTTGCTCCAGCAGACCCCCTTCCAACAGAACTTTGCCTCTAAGACTAGTCTTCCTCTGAACAGCCTCCCCATGGTTCTGTCTCCTCATAACGCTTCTTCAAGATGGGATGGTGCTGCACCATGCCATTCACACCACGCATTCATCAAGAGATTAGAAAGGTAAAAAAAAAAAATAAATAACCCACAGAACACTTCAGTGTGAGGAACTGAGGGGAAAAGTGTTGATTCTCCCCAGCTATGCAGCAAGAAGATCATTCAGTTTTACAGGTGGTAGGGAGAGCTTTACTTAATGTGACCTTCCTCAAAGGAAAAGATTTCAATGCACAGAAGAAACAGCAGGAAAAGGTAGGCATCTCTCCCCTCTGGTATGCAGTGGTTACACCCAAATAGTGAAACAGCTTGAGTCACATTTCTGGGATCACTAAAAGAAAGTACGTGCATTTCAGCAGCACTATGGTCAAAACCCCCAGGAGCTGCATGTGCCGAAGAAAGAAATCAGAAAATCATTTCTGCAAATGGCAGAAGAGAAAGGGAGACCAGCACAACTGCAAAACATCACCTAACCTTGTGTTGCACTCAAAAAATATGTTTGCAGGACAACACTAGAACTCTTCACTATTATTCTCCCTCAAGTTTAGACACAGCCTTTTCACATAAGGGAACTCCATGGACGCGCCAAGGCAGCCTTCCAGATTTTACTGACACCCCACCCAAGCTGAATGGGCCTTCAGTAAATCACCCACGGAAGAAGAGTGTGCTGAAGGGCCGTGCTTTAGAGCTCTCCCTCCCACAGTCCAGTTCTTGGCCATCACCTGGGAAGCGCACACATCATTCACATGAAGACCTCCACCTCAACACTCACCTAATATAGGGCAATACAGGCACAGCCCGTTCCAGGCACTGTGTCCATCCAGCCCCTCCTGCTCCAGCTTCCTGTAGGAGAAACTGTTTAGAAATGGGGAAAGATTTATTGTACCAAAAAGAAAAGGGAAGGAAGCAATACTCTCTCCCCGAGCATATGCCTCTCTTCCATGAATCCTCTGACTTTCTGACAAGCTCAGGCCTCTTCTCAGCTAGGAGATGCCATGTCAACAGAAGCCCTCAGGCGAACTTGCAACTGGTTGAAATCTCTGAAGAGACCAAGGCAATTCCACAGTACTTGACCATGCACCAAGGCCCGCTCTCTTCTACATCCTCCTCTCGTGTCCCAACAGATGGCTGCCTCAACAAGCTCATTTTGAATATTGTTTTCCTTGCAGAACAGTTTTTATCCCAGTCTCTCTCACTTTAATACAAATAACCTTGAATGCTGTTGCGGTACAAGAAAAATCATTACAATATGAACTTAAAATACAGAGGCAGTAGTATATCTTAAAGATGCTCAAACTCCTCCCTTCTCTGACAGAGAGGTTTGTTGCAAAGCCTCTAATGAAATGCAAAGCATGGACCCAATGTAGCATCACAAGATGACAGAAACAACAGAATTGAGCCTTCAAGCTCTGCACCACCACTGCTGCTACAGAATTCAGTTTGCCCAGCACATGCAGCATGCAGCACACACCTTGCCGTGCAAACAGACTAACACTGCTGCAGAAACTGCAACCTCAGCCGCTCCCCACTTCACTTTAGATTAACAAAAATCACTTGGCACCCACAGCCACAACTACAGACCTGCCATACACTGCACAGCGTATGCAGCCCTTGCACACTTGCCCAGCCCGCGTGGGTTAGTCCACATCCAGCAGGGCTATGGAAAGACCTGCTCATGTGGTCAGCAGCAGATAAGGCAGCTGATGTTCACTCTTTCTCCTGCCCATGCTCTAGGAGAAAAGAGAACCCAGGAAGAACAAGCAAAGATGATGGCAAGAACAGGGCTGAAACCAGAGGGACCCACACTACACACAAATTAGTTCATACAAAAGGTATGTTCCTAAAAGGTCCCACTTGCCCCAGTTGATGCTTAAGGCCCCAGGACATGCAGTCAGAGCACCTTCACTCGCCGCTGCTTCTCAGCTTGCTTCAGTGACTTTCCCCTCAAGCCCCAGTTCTGCCCCACCTGCCCAGATACCCACATGTCCTTGCACCACTCAGATTCCTCTAGGCACCTTGACCAGCTGTCTGAAATCTGCTGCAATTCCAATGCCCGGGACCCACCCTAAACGCCAAGTCCTGTGCAAATGCACCAATCCTCTACCGCAACAAGCCAGGGACAGTAATCTCACACCCTATTTTCTGGTCATCTACATATATGCAAACTAGGAAGCTATGTTGTGAGCTTGTTTTCAGATCTGCAAGTATCAGCATAAATGATAATGCAGAACTAGAAGTCCTTGGCAGGGACTGACATTTGTTTCTTTGGTTTTTTTTTTTTATTTCAATTTAATAGCCATTGTAATGAGGTTGGATGAAATGGGAACCCAAACAACTCCCTGTAGTCAAGGGGTACGGTGGACACAGTTTTCAAAACAGCACTACAAGAGGGCCTCCATGTCCTCCGCACACCAGCAGGGTCAATGCAAATCACACCGGAATCTAGCACAAAAATCAAAAAGCACCATCTGCTCCTCCAGCTCCTCCTGTACAGGCAGCTCCTTCCATGGCAAAAGGACTTCTTACAGGGGCACATTCCCCTTGGTGCTATTCTCCTTCCAAGACCTCTCACTGCAGATAAAGCTAAACAAGATACAAGCTGAGAAAGTTGCTGCCCGACAGATACTCCAAGGTACTGTCAGCACAGATAAGCTGCTATACACCAAAATCATCTGCAACTGTCAGACTTGGGTTTTCTTCTACCCCACGCTATCTGTCTGCCCACGATGTCAAACCACTATGACTGTGGGTAATGTTTAAGCTAAGACAGCTATCAGTCCCACGAGCAAGCTGTTAGTACTGCAAGACTGGGATGTGGCCATCAAGTCCAACCTGCTATTTAGATGGAGAAGAAGCCAGAGGGATTGGGGGGGGGTTATAAAGCTTGCAAAACATTACATTCTTGTGAGGTCAGCCCGATAACTGTTCCCTTTCTGCTTACTTGCTGTGTGCCCATTAAAAGAGAAAGTAGAGCTTGGAAGATTGAGCTTTAGCACGTTTAAATCCTCAAAAGCCAGACGCCAAGAGTACTAATTTTGTAGAAGCCAAAAGGATCCTTCCCATTTGGGCTAAAAAAAAAAAAGCACACGCAAGGATCACATCCACGTGTTTATACACAGACACCAGAGGCGGGGAAAGATTCGAGACTGGGAGCGGGTGAAAAACCAGCAGAAGATAAATCTGATGCCTGCCTGGAGGCAGGTGATGTGGGTCATATACCAGGCAAGGGCCCCATTAACAGGACACCCCACATGGGATGGTGAGGCACGGGGAGCACTGACATGAGAAGGCACCTGGCACCCCAAACCCTGCCAACCAACACATAGCCCATTCCAGGCTTTCTGGAGGGCCACTCAAAATGCTGGGAGGATGACCCCTCACAGACCTGACAGAGGGCAGCAGCCCTCCCCAGGCCTCTCACTTTAGAGTGGGTGGTCCCTGCACTCCCCACCCACCCCAAAACCCACCGAAGGTGCGCGGGGAGCCCCGCCCACCGCTGTGGTCAAGCTGAGGTGCGGGGAGACGCCCCAAAGGGGAGGGAAGGAACCCTAACATTGAGAGAAGAGCCGCAAAGCTGAGCGGAAAGTGGGGATTGCGAGAGCAGCCCCAGGGGCCTCACGGCTGGACGCGCAGGCCTCCGACCTGCGACCCTCGGCGTGTCAGAGAGGCCCGAGCCCAGCCCCGGGGTCTGCCGGCTGAAGGGGAAGGGTCCGCCCGCCGTTACCTGGGGACGCAGCTAGGGCTGGAACCGTCGATCTCCCAGGTAGCGAAGAGGTTCATAGGCACGGGCCGCCCCAGGGCCCCAGGGCCGCCCGGGAAGCTGAGGCGGCTCCGCTCCGCCGCCGCCGCCATGGCTGCCGGCCTGGCGCGCGCCCACCGGGCCGCCGCCTGCCCCTGGTGGTGGGGCTGTGTTGCTGCCAGGGTGGCCGGAAGTGCCCGTGCGGCTGGCGGCGGTGGGACCGGATGTCGCAGCGGCTGTTTCCGGCCAGCTCCGTGGCGGGGGCGGGCGGCGACGCGGGGCTGAGCGGCGGCGGGCGGGCCGTAGTGCACCGCGGAGATGGTGCTGCTCACCATGATCGCCCGCGTGGCGGACGGGCTCCCTCTGGCTGCTTCCATGCAGGAGGACGAGCAGGTGGGGCCGCGGGGTGCGTGGCGGGGGGGCTCGGCCTGGTGCGCTGGTGAGTGGGCAGGGGGGTCGGGGGGTGGTCCTTTCCTGTAGCTCTTGCACAAGCGCTCCACGCGCGGTGGTCGTGGGTGGTGTTTGTAGAGAAGTTTCTGTGCTGGTGGGCTGTGCTTGCTTCTCGGGCTCAAGCTGTCGTGCCCCTCGCTGACTGCGGATGGGGGATGTTTCCCAGGGAGCAGTCGCTCCTAACAGCCTGTTCTCCCTTCTCAGTCAGGTCGCGATCTGCAGCAGTACCAGAGCCAAGCAAAGCAGCTCTTTCGCAAGCTGAACGAGCAGTCCCCCACAAGATGTACTCTAGAAGCAGGAGCCATGGCTTTTCAGTAAGTGTCTGTGGTTGTGATGGGGAATGGGCTCCTGCCACTACCGTGGAAATATGTGATGGTGCTTCTGGGTCAGGATGTGGATTTGTTAGAAATGGGCTGCCTGAGAGTGGGTGAGTTATTCGACTGTGCCGTGCTGGCTGAAGTGTAATAGCCACTTGAAGGGTAGAGCATGAGTTTTTATTTCTTTGCAGTGTTGTCTGGCACTTGTCTTCCCCCCAGGTTCATAGTTCTGCCTTTGCTGACTGACAGTGTAGTTTCTGTTTCATTTAAGGTTTTCCTGCTTGTTTGCACCAAGATAACTTCAGAGTGTCTTCTGTACCTCTTGTGTCTGGCCTTTTCTAAAGAAAGATGTCTGTAGTAAAAGCAGCCTGGCAGTACCACTGTGAGCTTCTCTGCATACGGCCTTTCCTCTCTGTGTCTTATGTGAGAGTTTACCTTTTCATACGTCATCTTCATGTGTTACAATCAGATGGAGCATATCTGATATTTTTTTTAATTACTGCCTTAGTATCTGACAGACTTTTTTCTCTCATCTTGTAGGTTCAATCTTACAGTTGCTGAATGTGTTGGGTATGAAAAAGAGGAGAGCAAGCTTGTGTTTGAGAAAGGAAATGCTTCCTTACATGATATGCAGCTACCTGACAATATTGCTTGAGAACTTAATAAAGCCCAAGATCTTGTCAAGAATCGGAATTCCCATATTAGCAGAAATAATTGTTAAAAGTCTCTGAAATCAGGTGACATGTGAGAGCACTGAGGCAGAGTTGTCCAGTTTTGCCAGTAAGATTTCCTGGCAGCAGGATCCCTCTCAATTCCTAACCCTGGTGACCAGGTGTGTGTTTACAGCTGTGTGAGTGGGACACAGCCTTTGAATGCAGGCCAAGGATGGCTTTAGGTCTCTGTTTCTGTATCATGCATTGCTTCCATGATGCAAGAAGAGTGATGTCTGAGAAGGCACCTGGCAGTGCCAAGGAAATCAAAGCCTCTTAATGGTGGCTGTAATGTCGCCAGTTTTGACAAGGTATAAGTACTTGGGCCAGCTGTGTCAAACCTGGTTTCTTTGACATGGAAGAGGTTACCTGGCTAGTAGGTGGGGAAAGGAGCATTTCTCCTTCTGTGTTGAGTTAGTCCCTAGATGGCGTTCCACAGGCAATTGACAGCTGCTTCTGCAAAGCACTCAGTGGCTCCCTCCTTTAAGGTGGGACATTAAGGCAGGACCTATATGAAAAGAATAATTTCAGATAAGAAAACATCCTGAAACTGTGAGAACATTGCAGGAAGGGGAGGAAATAGGGGAGTTTGAGATTTAGTGTAAACATAATGCTGACTAATGACCGTGCTGTTCATTAACACAGCATAACATCTTTTCTGCCAAATCAGAGCTCTGACTGCTGAGGGCAGTACAAAACAGGACAGAATATTTTGCGGTGCAGAGTTACAAGTGTGGGTCAGGATATTGCTGAACTTGCTGAGGTGGTGTTGAACATTTTTAGCTTGGTCTTTTGGAAAAGAGCCTATTCTTGCTGAAGTGTGAAGCTTAAACTATGCCCACTGAAATTACTGAGGTAATTTCTGTCAAATGTTATGTTTAGACTGGCTCTAAAAGCTGTGTCACACTTTCAGCTTCAGCATTCTCTCACTTCTGCGCATGGCTGTGCAGGTGCAGAAACACTGATGGAGTCTGCGGTGCTGTCAGTCACTAGTTGACCTTTGGCTCATTCATGGCTGAAGTGGCTTTTACCTGTCACACCGAGAACAACCCTTGGCCTTTGCCACTGTTACTGGGATAAAGCTTTTCTTGCTGAAAATGTCCAGGGTAATCGTAAGAAGCATATTGGGAGTACAGTAGTTAGCAATGGCAAGGGGCAGCGTACACTCCTGGGCACTCAGTATGATTGGGTGCTGTGCTGAATCTCAGAGGCAGGCACAAAGAGTAGAACTGTCCAGCTGTGCAGGAACTCTGCTCTGATGTTGAACTGACATTGACAATTGTCTGAGTCTGGGACAGAATGAGGAGTGCTTGCTCTCTGTGGTGCTGATGGGTTGCCTTTAAATCCAACACATTTTCAGGGGAAAAACAAGTGGGAAATACAGCTGCAGAGCTCCAGGCAGCACTAGCTGGCCCTAGCAGAGGTAACACAGCTGTACCAAAAGAGCAGGGCAGGTTCCTCAGGCTGCTCTCGTCTTGGAAGTGGTGCTCCAGCTCTGAGGCAATACTGTTGGAATGCCTATCTAACAGGAGTTTTCTGTATTTCTTAAGATGCTTTTGTGTCTTGCTGTTCATGACAGTGGCTAAATCAAGCTCTGGGTGATGACTTGTAGCAACTCCAAGAAGTCAAGCAGGTCTTCAAGTGTAAGGGCAGAACAGAGGCATGATGTACTGTAGAATTAGTCTTACACACTGATGCAGTCCAAACTGAGGGAATGGAAGGATGTGCTTATGGGGACACACTTGTGGAATGGATTTAAGTAACTGAAGTTTCTTGCTTCTGATAGAGGTGTTGAAGGCTGTGTTATTTGAAGGTTGGCAGGATTTACAGTAGCCATATAGAGGCAGAAGAAGTGAATACTTCTGTCCCCAGAAGCAACTTGAGGATGGCTAATTTGAAGGACTTGTACCTGTTGGGGTATTTGGAAAAACAGTGGGGAGGGGGAGGAAGTTGTTTTGTAAGCCTGGTGTGGCTATTAAGAAAATTTTAAGCTGCTTATTTAACTATGATGCCCTCGGGACTGCGTCAATTCTTTAATACACTGTTAATCTTTATGCTAATTAGTCTGCTGCATAATGGCATTATGCAGAAAGTCAAAGGAAAGTAACATAAAAGCATTTAAATTCCACCCTACATAATACAGATACACATTCAAAAGTGTAGGCAGGGCTAGCTACCACCTCAACTCCCTTGGTTTGGGTGGAAATATCATTGCTTTTATTTTTCTGTTGGTTAAATGAGGTGAAAAATGTAGTTGGGAATGTGTAGCAGCAGAGAGTTGTAGCAAAGCCTAAACAATCTCAAGATTAGTTCTATCTTATCCCTTATTTCAGTAGGCTTTTTAGTGGAATTCCCTGCCTATGGTAGGGGAGGGTTGGAACTAGATGAACTTTAAGGTCCCTTCCAAACCTAACTATTCTATGATTCTGTAATGGAAAGCCTCTATTCTCAGTGCTGACAGAGGCACTGGAGTTCACATTGAAACAAGGTCAGCACTAAGCCTTTGTGAGGAAGTAAGAATTAGATGGGGATTGGGGCTGGTTGGAGGAGGAGAAGAGGACCTCTGTGCATTCACCTGCAGGACAAATGAAACAGCATTACACAGTAACATGCTTCCATGCATGTTCTGGGGCTCCTAATATTGCAGCCAAAGAACAGGTAGCACAGTCATACTTACCCATGGCAAACCTGTAGGGGAGGTCACCAGAATCCAGATACCAGCAGTATTTTTCCCAAAATGCCTTTGAGGTTGTGCATCTGGATAGCAACAGCTGACCAACAGGCTGGTGTTGGAGGGAAGGGTACCTCCTTTCCCCCAAAATAGAAAGCAGGAGGTGGCAGTCACTGGGTGGCTTTTTAGCATGTTGAGCCCAAATTCTTTTGTGTCCTGATCTCAGGGTAGAGCTTCCCATTTGTGGGCCTCAGGTACTTGGCTGTGCTGCATTGTCTTAGAGCTGTGTTGGCCACCTTCCTGTCTATTTTGCTGGCAAATTTTCTTGGGCTGCCATCCTCCTGACCACAGGAGGGAGGATTCCTCCCTCTTTTACTCCCAAATTGTAACTCTCATTGCTTGTATTTTCTTAACCTAATGATATTCACAGGCCAACTTTTGTTCAAGTGAAGACAAAGTTCAGGGCTGTTGGTGTGGGTATGGGGTTTGAGGGTTCAAGTGAATTTATTTTGGGTAAAGAAGAAATAAGCCATTTTTTTTGTAGAAAGTTTGACACCTGTACCCAGTTCTCATTGCTTCATAGGAATAAAAGTATGCAGGGTGGTGTTTGATAGGATAGGTTCAAAATTGATTAATTAATGTTCTGTCTGCTGTTCTTTTAGCTACATCATTGAGAAAGGAGTGTGTTACCTGGTCCTGTGTGAAGCTGCATTCCCCAAGAAATTGGCTTTTGCCTATCTGGAAGACCTGCATTCAGAGTTTGATGAGCAGCATGGCAAGAAGGTGCCAACAGTCTCCAGGCCCTATTCCTTCATTGAATTTGGTGAGGTCCCTCTCCTTGTGGCTAGTTAGGAACTTTCTTGCTGGGGGGAGCAGCAGCGACAGAATCCTTTCCAGCTTGGCCTATGGAATTGACAGTTCAACCTCTTTCTGGCACTACAGAAATGGGTGTTTTAAGCAAGAGAACACAGAAGTGGTATGGAAATTGTAAATGTCCTTCGATTTAGATTTTCTGCTTTAAGTCTCTTGGCCTTGCTCCAGTGAATATTTTTATGCCGTCTACTAGCTGTCCCAGCAATGCTCCCACTCTTTCAGGAGTGAGCCTGCTCTGTGTTTAGTGAGATCCCCTCTGATCGCCCCCCTCTTGTTCTAGACACCTACATCCAGAAAACCAAGAAGCTCTACATTGATAGCCGGGCGAGGAGGAATCTGGGCTCCATCAACACAGAGCTGCAGGATGTGCAGAGGATTATGGTGGCCAACATTGAGGAAGTCTTACAGCGAGGAGAAGCACTTTCAGGTACAGGGAATTCCTGGTATTTGGCATATGGCTCTTTATCCCCTTGATCAGCTGAGTGAGTGGAGCATACTAGAGGTAAAGGTTTGCTAATCGCTGAACCTCCGGAGAAAAGGAGTGAACTCAATGGGTGTTTCATTTGGATTGGTTGCATCCTGAGGCACCTGGCAGGTACTGCTGCCTCTTTTGGGTAAGACAAGCATCTTGCTAGCTTGGGTGGCTCCAACCCAGCAGGACAAGCACTGGAGCACTGCACACAGACACAGGCCATGCTGCCTTGTGAAACTGCTGCACTGTCAGAGAAACTCCCAGAGAAACTGCTGCTGCTCCAGAGAAGCTCGTACAGTTAGTATAATATTGGGGAGCATATAGGTTGCTTTAATATTGATTAACTTCTCTGCCCTTTCTCCTCAACAGCTCTTGATTCCAAGGCCAACAATCTCTCCAGTTTGTCCAAAAAGTACCGTCAGGACGCAAAGTATCTGAACATGCGTTCCACGTACGCCAAACTTGCGGCTGTAGCTGTGTTTTTTATCATGTTGATCGTGTATGTGAGATTCTGGTGGCTGTGAGTCAGTTGCAGTCACGGAAGAGGGAAAGCTGGTAGCCTGGCAGGTGTATGTGTGCAGGACACTGTTCATGGGGGATGTGCATTAGAATACACACAGGACCACCACCTTAACGGAAATGTCCTGAAATTGTTAGGTGACACTTGACTACTACATCTCTTAGTGAAGCCTAACAATAGGTGTAAAGGCTTGTTGACTACAGGCTTTTCCTCTGAGGCAGTTTGCACTAGGGCACTGGAGAGTTTGGCCTCCCATGGTCCTGCTCCCCTCCTGGGGGCACGCTCTGGGAACTGTCAATCAGTGCGGTATAGCATAATCACATTATATGTCCTCCTGTTGAGTAGCTCTAGTGGGAACTGTACTCTAATGAACATTCCTTGTATTGGCAATATTTGCTTTTTTAGAATCTGGGTCTGCAGCTCTTTTTCTTTCTTTTTTTTTCTTTCTTTTTTTTTCTTCAAAGGCAAGACTCCCCTGTTTGACAGTAAATACTGCATTGTACATGTAATAGCTTTTACCTCTGTCAGAATAGCTATTGTTGAGTTTTCTGTGTCTGACATCTTGGCTTGTTACACTTTAAATTGCTTTGGGAAGAAATGGATGTTAAATTATGCCTTAAAATACATTCTGTCTAGTATTAGGAGGGGCAATGGAAGACTTCTATATTACAGATTCCTAGAAAATTAAACTACAGGTTTGTAAGTGTCCACTTTTCGTCCCCTGACAGCTGTGTATGAGTGTATGTTTCCTTATAAACAGGGTGTGTAATTCAGTGTTGGAGTGGGTACAGTGCAAACTATGTCAGCACTCTGTGTTTTTCCCTTCTATCTGCAGATTCACTAACTATTTCCTTCCTTTTATAACTGCATCACTTCCAAAATGTGTCAAAACTGCCAGCATTTCATCTCTGGGATGCTTGTTTTCTTTCTCCCTCTTTTCCTCACCTAAAACAAAACAAACAAAAAAAACAAAACAAAAAAAAAATCCCCAAACCCTGAAACTCTGAATGTTGTTGTGAAAAAACGGCAGTGTTTCCTTAAAGAACACTTTAACTTTACATGAAGGATTCAAAATGATAACTTCAAAACAGTGGAATCCTTTGGAAATGCCACCTTTTTTTCTGTGGTCACCTTCTCCCTACCTCACTTGGGAAGTTGAAATTGTAGGTGAAGAAAAGCTCATTACGAGGCAATAGTATAGAGCTGCTTCTTTCTTATGGGCCAATATGTATCTTTCCAGTAATGTGATTCTTTTTTGTTGTTTTGGTTTTTTTGTCCATCAGTGCTAAGGATAACATTTTAACAGTCAGCTGTTGTTTTCACTTAAAAAATAAGAGGAAAAAAGAAACCCCACAGCTCAGGCACTCTCCTGCACTCAAGTGTCTGCCACTTGGTAGGAGGCAGGCAGTGTCACAGAAGAAAGTTTCAGGACTCCCCAGCACCTTTTACAAGCACATAATTTTGTATAGTTCTGGAAGTACAAACTGTGACCTGGAAATGTTTCCTGCCACAGGGTAGGAAACAGAGAGCTGTTGTCCTGTCTGGGAACACTCCCCAGCTTGACACAGTGTTGGACTGGCACAGAAGCAGTTAGCACTTGTCCAACAATAAACCTAGCAAATTTGATCTGCCATGTAGCCTAAATCAGGTTTCTGCATGATGCCTCCAAGTGTTACTTTGTAGCTTGCTTTATTATTATCATTATTTTTAATCCTTTAAGTGGTGTCCCTAACAGGTGAACGTCCCAGTGGTGTAGGTCTGTGTAACGTAGGTGCTAGAAGGTGAGCAGACACCGGCCATATGTGGATTGTGATTGAGGGCAGTGACATTTCTGCAGTGAAGGGCAGCTCAATGAGCCGCTGCCTCCTGCAGCCCCAGTGTCAGCAGTGAAATAAACGCTTCTGAAAAATCCCCTCTGCAGTGAGGAATTTCTGTCATCTTGGAGGATGCTTTCTTTCCTTCCAGCCACACAACAGGGTCAAGGCCCACCTGGGATAAAGGTCTCCTTTTTGGAGGCAGAACTAGTCTGAAAAACATGTTTTGCCCATTTTCTGGCAGAGGCTATACTTGGGTTATAGCAGGGGTTTCTTTCCCTGCAGGTGTACGTGCCTTGTTGCATGAGGGCAGGCAGCTGTGTCAGCACTGGCAGGGCCCTGTAAGTGCTTGGGCAGATGTTTATGGGGACAGCTTTTTGGTAATGCTGTTCACATGGGGCACATGAGAGGCAGAATGAACTTGAGAGTAGTGTATGTGTCCCCCGTGGTGTGTGTCAGCATTAACAGAGCACAGAGCTGCAAATGTCCCTTGTCTAAAGAGGAAGAAAGGCAAGGAAGACTTCTGCGGGCCAGCATGGGCCTCCGGGGAGTGCTTTATAAGCAAGTCCCTCGCATTCAAAATACAGAGCCCCTTGTCCTCCATCTCACATGGCAGAGGTGCTGCTGGTGCACTGCAAGAGAGATGCATGCTGTGTTTTGTTTTGCTGCGGGCTGTTTCTGCCTCCTCTGGTAGCCAGACCTGAGGTTAGCTGTTCTGTCCGGCTGCTGAGGGCAGAGGGGAGGAGAAGCTGCTGCTGCTGCTTCTTTCTCCATGTGTTACATGATGGGGGAGCACCCGTGGCTCCCCGCGCTGGGGCGCACCAGGGAGCAGCCCTGCTGGGTGTGAGTGACCGTAGCTGCTGGGTTGCTGCTCGCTCGGGAGTCCTGGTGCTGTGCACTTGGCGCTGGCAGAGGCCCATAGCTTGCCTCGGAGCTGCTGCCTGCAGATGGCAGTGCGGGCACGGTGCAGAGCAGCGCCCAGAGCGGGAGAGACGAAGGGACGACTCCCGAGGGCCTCGTTGCAATGCCTTGGTCTCCCCAAAGACCCACAGCCTCGCTGGGCCTGGGCTGCCTCCTCTTGAACCGGGGACGTGCCTGCGAGGGCTTCTGGACTGTGCCATACAAGGCCGTGGCGCCGGGCCTCCTCCCATCATGGCGCTGCGATTCCGCAATGAGCTGGGGGGGTGGTGGTGCTTCCAAGCAGGGTGGTCACTGCAGTCACCTCCGGCCCAACACCTCTAATTTCTGTTCCTGAGCCTGCTTCTCAGGCTCCTGAGGCTCTTTGCCTGCTGGGTTCCCCCACTGTGCTTCCCCTCAGCTCCTGTGCCTGGTCTCCTCCACCTGCAGAGCCCAACGGGTTTGTCCTAGCTTGGGCCCATGCAGAGCAGTGGGGGAAGAAAGACCTGGGAGCGGTGCAAAGTCCTGACACCACTGCAGCACCAGAGCCCCTGCACTGGGGGTTTAGGTGACAGAACTGGGCTCTCCCTGGCCCCATGGCATCCCCATTGCCACCTGGAAACCTTTTGTCACGGGCCACAGGCAGAGAACAGCAAGGTGCAAAAGAAAAGCAGGTGGTGCAAGGTGCCCCAGGGGCTGCTCTGTCACAAGAGTGATCTTACAGAAGAGCTGTCGGTTTGGGCTGTCCTTGCTGCTGCCATGGCGCAGCTCACGTCTGGGCGCCCCTGGCTGCTACTGGGGACAGTGCCTGCTGCAGGGACCGTGTGTGGCTGTGCTGGAGGGACCCCAGGGCTCTGCTGGGTGATTTCACTGCTGGGCATGCTGGTGCTGGGTGGCTGGCTTTTTCCTCAGTGTCTGACAAGCACAGCAGCAAGAGCAGACAGGCAGAGCTGGTTCCCAGACGCTGCCAAACCTGCCATGGGTGCGGCACAGCACTGCGGAGAGGACTAGCACAGCAGGGTACTCCAGCCACCATGTCCAATGTAAACCAGGTCTCCACTGGCACAGGATGCAGCCATACTCTGCACCACCACCGCTTCTGGGAGCAGCTGTTGGGGCACTGCAGGGCTTTGGTTTCTGTGTTTACTTGGGCACCAGCTGCTTCCCCCACTTTGAACCAGCTCCTTGCGCTTCCAAACCCCTCTTCTGGGCAGGTTTCAAGAAAAACCCACTTTCAGCATCGTTCCCTCTGGGCCCCCAGGGAAGTTTGACTCCAGGTGGTTTCTGGCAGCTGCTTTGAGATGGGTGAATGTCCCAGTAGGGGAGAGGGCTGTGCCAGTATCCCTGCAGCAGGGCAAGTGCCTTCTGGGACACCCAATGCCAGATAACTGCCTGGGCAGAAATGGCCAGGACAGCAGGGCTTGGAGTTCAGCCTTCAAGCATCCTAGTCCTTGTCCTTCCTTTCTCAGTGGCCAGTATGGGGCCATGGCAGTTTGTCCCTCTGGGAGCTATCAGTCACAGTGAGACAGGGAGGAATGCCCCTCAGAGCCAGGCTGGGGAGCTCTGGAAGTTCCCGGTCTGCCCTCTCCTTGTGGTTTACTCTGCTGCATTGCTGCTGCCCTTTTGAAAAGAAGGATGTCCATTTTCTGCTACCCAAAAATGAAGGCTTTTCAGATGAGATAATGCTCGGCTTGGTGGCTGGCCACGGGGCAACCAAGTGCCAGGACCAGCACTCCCACATGGGCCTCAGTCAGCACTGTGTCCCGTCACAGTGCACCCCTGAACCCTCCTGTTCCCTCAGACCTGGGTGATGCAGCTGGGCTGGTCCTCAGCCTCAAGCATTCAGCAAACTGCAAGGCAGGATCTGGGGCACCGCTTAGTCCCTGGCAGCCTCCTTACTGTCCCTGTTGGCCTGAGCTTTTGGGGGGTTCCTGGAGTCTGGCTGCTCTTGAGCCCTTGCAGACAGCACCCAGGAGAGGTGGAGTATGACCTCTCCACTGCAGATGCCTCTGCTTCCTCTGACCAGGTCCCCACAAATGTCCTTGGTTCTGATTCCCCTTGGGCTGCCATACCACCTCCCCTCCTTCCTTATCCCTTGACTTGCGCACTGTTTGGGTCCCATGCAGGCACAGGGGTCCCTGGGATCTGCCTGGGGCTGTACACGCAGCACTGAGCCTTGCAGCGTCTTGCGTAGCTGCTCCCGGCTGGCTGCAGTCACACCTGAGCTCACAAACCTGCTGGAGGGGATAAAGCAGAATCTGGGGAGTCCCCGCTCCCCCTGCCCACCCCAGCAGGCTGCTAGACCTCTGCCATGCTTTCTCTGTCTGACAGCTGCATGGAGGAGCCCAGCGTCGTCTTGAATCATGGCTCAGAAACCCCCCTGAACCCTAGCACTCTGCACAGAGATGATAAACCTGCTTCTTCTGCCACTGCTTTTCCTTTTCCTTCCCCCTGCATCGCACCAGCAGCACCCTGGCCTTGCGGGTGCTCCCCGGTATGCTCTACTTCCTTGGCATGCTGCCTGCGCTCACTGGAAGTGGGACTCCCCAGCCCTGTCGCAACACAGCACCCAGAGTGGAAAGTGCACCCTCCCCATTGCCTGCAGCTACAGCCCCTGAAAATGGCAGCAGACATAGGATTTGCATAGAAGAGCATAACTAAATGTGCTTGCTGGAGCCATGGTGACCCCCAAGTTCCCCACACCAGGACCTGCATGGGTACCCAGGGGACTGGAGCCTGCAGGACCTGGTGTGTATCTCCCCAGGACCTTTCCTGGACCTACATGTCTCTCATGCACAGCCATGATTACAGCTACAATGGCATCTTGACCCCAGCACCCACTTCGGGAGTGGAGGGGACCATCAAGGTGAAAGGGAACATGGGTGGCTTCTGATTCAGCATGGGATGGGAGCAGGCTGCACAGAGCAGCGTGAGGCTCCCACCCGGTGCCAGAAGGGTTGTAACAGCACCGCCAGGGTCTGAGGCTGCACTCTGGGTCCCATAGCAGTAGA